TGGGTCAGAATCAGAGGGGAAACGGGGCCAAAATTGCCCAAAATAGCCCCAAAATATTCCTGAAATATCATGAAAAACAGCCCCAAAATAGCCCCAAAATTCGAGGGGAAATGGTGCCAGAACTGCCCAAAAATGGTCAAAATCAGAGCGGGAACTGGGCCAAAATTGGCCAAAATCAGCCCAAAATATTCCTGAAAAAGAACCCAAAATATCCCCAAAATCAGAGGGGAAACGGTGCCAAAATTGGCCAAAAATGGGCCAAAATATTCCTGAAATATCACGAGAAATAGCCCCAAAATCAGCCCAAAATATTCCTGAAATATGGTGAAAAATGGTACCAAAATAACCCCAAAATATTCCCAAAAAATCCCCAAAATATTCCCAAAAAATCCTCAAAATATTCCCAAAAAATCCCCAAAATATTCCCAAAAAATCCCCAAAATATTCCCAAAAAATCCTCAAAATATTCCCAAAAAATTCCCAAAAAATCCCCAAAATATTCCCAAAAATATCCCAAAATATCCCAAAATATTCCCAAAAAATCCCCAAAATATTCCCAAAAAATCCCCAAAATATTCCCAAAATATTCCCCAAATATTCCCAAAAAACCCCCAAAATATTCCCAAAAAATCCCCAAAATATTCCCAAAAAATCCCCAAAATATTCCCAAAAAATCCTCAAAATATTCCCAAAAAATCCCCAAAATATTCCCCAAAAAATCCCCAAAATATTCCCAAAAAATCCCCAAAATATTCCCAAAAAATCCCCAAAAAATCCCCAAAATATTCCCAAAATATTCCCAAAAATATCCCAAAAAATCCCCAAAAAATCCCCAAAAAAATCCCCAAAATATTCCCAAAATATTCCCAAAAATCCCCAAATATTCCCAAAATATTCCCAAAAAATCCCCAAAAAATTCCCAAAATATTCCCAAAAAAATCCCCAAAATATTCCCAAAAAATCCCCAAAATATTCCCAAAAAATCCCCAAAATATTCCCAAAATATTCCCAAAATTCCCTCAGGGGATCCAGGTAAATTTTGGGATGAATTTGGGGAATTTTGAGAGCAAATTGGGGAATTTTGGGATGAATTTTGGGATGAATTTTGGGAATTTTGGGGCATTTTTTTAGGGAAAAAAGAAGATTTTGGAGGGAAAAAATCGGGATTTTTGACGGAATTTTTGGATTTTTTGACGGAATTTTTGGATTTTTTGGGGGGGAATTTTTGGATTTTGGGGATTTTTGGGATCGGGGAATTCGGGGAATTCGGGAATTCCGGGAATTCCGGGAATTCTGGCCCCACCTGAGCCTCGTAGGTGAGCAGGGCGATGTGGGCGATGCTGTAGAGCGTCATGTAGACGGACAGACGGACGGAGCCCCCCGGGCTGATGCGGCCCCTGGGGGAGCACGGAGTAACCTCTGAGTAACCCCTGAGTAACCTCTGAGTAACCTCTGAGTAACCCCCGAGTAACCTCTGACCTCTGAGTAACCCCTGAGTAACCTCTGAGTAACCTCTGAGTAACCCTTGAGTAACCTCTGAGTAACCTCTGAGTAACCCTTGAGTAACCTCTGAGTAACCTCTGAGTAACCTCTGAGTAACCCCTGAGTAACCTCTGAGTAACCTCTGAGTAACCCTTGAGTAACCTCTGAGTAACCTCTGAGTAACCCCTGAGTAACCTCTGAGTAACCTCTGAGTAACCTCTGAGTAACCTCTGAGTAACCTCTGAGTAACCTCTGACCTCTGAGTAACCTCTGAGTAACCTCTGACCTCTGAGTAACCCCTGAGTAACCCCTGAGTAACCCCTGAGTAACCTCTGAGTAACCTCTGAGTAACCCCTAGGTAACCTCTGACCTCTGAGTAACCCCTGGGTAACCTCTGAGTAACCCCCAAGTAACCTCTGACCTCTGAGTAACCCCTGAGTAACCTCTGAGTAACCCCTGAGTGACCCGAGTAACCCCTGAGTGACCCGAGTAACCCCTGAGTGACCCCCGAGTAACCCCTGAGTGACCCCTGAGTAACCCCCGAGTAACCCCTGAGTGACCCCTGAGTAACCCCCGAGTAACCCCTGAGTGACCCCTGAGTAACCCCTGAGTAACCCCTGAGTGACCCCCGAGTAACCCCAGAGTAACGCCTGAGTAACCCCAGAGTGACCCCTGAGTAACCCCCGAGTAACCCCAGAGTGACCCCTGAGTAACCCCCGAGTAACCCCAGAGTGACCCCTGAGTAACCCCCGAGTAACCCCAGAGTGACCCCTGAGTAACCCCCGAGTAACCCCAGAGTGACCCCTGAGTAACCCCCGAGTAACCCCAGAGTGACCCCTGAGTAACCCCCGAGTAACCCCAGAGTGACCCCTGAGTAACCCCCGAGTAACCCCAGAGTGACCCCTGAGTAACCCCCGAGTAACCCCAGAGTGACCCCTGAGTAACCCCCGAGTAACCCCAGAGTGACCCCTGAGTAACCCCCGAGTAACCCCAGAGTGACCCCTGAGTAACCCCCGAGTAACCCCAGAGTGACCCCTGAGTAACCCCCGAGTAACCCCAGAGTGACCCCTGAGTAACCCCCGAGTAACCCCAGAGTGACCCCTGAGTAACCCCCGAGTAACCCCAGAGTGACCCCTGAGTAACCCCCGAGTAACCCCAGAGTGACCCCTGAGTAACCCCCGAGTAACCCCAGAGTGACCCCTGAGTAACCCCCGAGTAACCCCAGAGTGACCCCTGAGTAACCCCCGAGTAACCCCAGAGTGACCCCTGAGTAACCCCCGAGTAACCCCAGAGTGACCCCTGAGTAACCCCCGAGTAACCCCAGAGTGACCCCTGAGTAACCCCCGAGTAACCCCAGAGTGACCCCTGAGTAACCCCCGAGTAACCCCAGAGTGACCCCTGAGTAACCCCCGAGTAACCCCAGAGTGACCCCTGAGTAACCCCCGAGTAACCCCAGAGTGACCCCTGAGTAACCCCCGAGTAACCCCCGAGCGTTACCTGGTGACCGAGAAGCCCTTGCCCAGCAGGATCAGCATCAGGAGGAAGATGAGGAAGCTGATGGAGAACAGGAGCTTCCCTGGGGGGGTCGTGGAATCTCAAATCTCCCCCAAAATCCCTCCCAGACATTCCCACAACATTCCCAAAACATTCCCAAAAAATTCCGGAATCCCAAAATCCCGTAAAACTTCCCCCAAACCCCCCCAAATCCCCATCGGAACCACCCCAAAACCCCCCAAAAATTCCTCAAAACCCTCCAAAACCCCCTCAAAATCCCCCCCAAAATCACCCTGAAGACCCCCAAATTTCCCCCAGATTTTTCCCAGATTTCCTCCAGATTTTCCCAAAAACTCCCAAATTTTTCCAGGATTTTCCCAAATCCCCTTAAATCTTCCCCAAAATCCCTCTCCAGCCCCGCCAAATCGCCCTGAAATCCCTCCCAAATCGCTCTGAAACCCCTCCCAAGCTCATTTAAATCACCCCAAATTTTACCCAAAACCCCCCAAATTTCCCCCAGATTTTTCCCAGATTTCCTCCGGATTTTCCCAAAAACTCCCAAATTTTTCCAGGATTTTCCCAAACCCCCTGAAAACTTCCCCAAAATCCCTCTCCAGCCTCGAAAAATCCCTCCCAAATCGCTCTGAAACCCCTCCCAAACTCCCTTTTTAACGCCCCAAATCCTCCCCAAATTTTGCCCAAAAATTCCCAAATTTTTCCCAGATTTTCCCGATTTCCTCCGGATTTTCCCAAAAATTCCCAAATTTTTCCAGGATTTTCCCAAACCCCCTGAAAACTTCCCCAAAATCCCTCTCCAGCCTCGAAAAATCCCTCCCAAATCGCTCTGAAACCCCTCCCAAACTCCCTTTTTAACGCCCCAAATCCTCCCCAAATTTTGCCCAAAAATTCCCAAATTTTTCCCAGATTTTCCCGATTTCCTCCGGATTTTCCCAAAAATTCCCAAATTTTTCCAGGATTTTCCCAAACCCCCTGAAAACTTCCCCAAAATCCCTCTCCAGCCTCGAAAAATCCCTCCCAAATCGCTCTGAAACCCCTCCCAAACTCCCTTTTTAACGCCCCAAATCCTCCCCAAATTTTGCCCAAAAATTCCCAAATTTTTCCCAGATTTTCCCGATTTCCTCCGGATTTTCCCAAAAATTCCCAAATTTTTCCAGGATTTTCCCAAACCCCCTGAAAACTTCCCCAAAATCCCTCTCCAGCCTCGAAAAATCCCTCCCAAATCGCTCTGAAACCCCTCCCAAACTCCCTTTTTAACGCCCCAAATCCTCCCCAAATTTTGCCCAAAAATTCCCAAATTTTTCCCAGATTTTCCCGATTTCCTCCGGATTTTCCCAAAAATTCCCAAATTTTTCCAGGATTTTCCCAAACCCCCTGAAAACTTCCCCAAAATCCCTCTCCAGCCTCGAAAAATCCCTCCCAAATCGCTCTGAAACCCCTCCCAAACTCCCTTTTTAACGCCCCAAATCCTCCCCAAATTTTGCCCAAAAATTCCCAAATTTTTCCCAGATTTTCCCGATTTCCTCCGGATTTTCCCAAAAATTCCCAAATTTTTCCAGGATTTTCCCAAACCCCCTGAAAACTTCCCCAAAATCCCTCTCCAGCCTCGAAAAATCCCTCCCAAATCGCTCTGAAACCCCTCCCAAACTCACTTTAAACGCCCCAAACCCTCCCCAAATTTTGCCCAAAAATTCCCAAATTTTTCCCAGATTTTCCCGATTTCCTCCGGATTTTCCCGACCATTCCCAAATTTTCCCAAATTTTCCCGAATCCCCCCAAATTCCCCCCAAAATCCCCGCCCTACCCAGGAGTTTGATGGGTCCGTGCCCCACCCCGTCCCAGCCGTACTGGCCCCAATAGACGCAGCTCAGGAGGAGGCTCAAAACTGGGGAGGGGGCGCAAAAATGGGGGTGAGACCCCTCCCCAAATTCCCTCCCGAAGACCCCAGACCCAAATAACCCCAAAACCCCCCCTAAACCCCCCCCAAAAAAACCCCAAATATCCCCCCAAAATCGCCACAAAAACCCTCAAAATTCCCTCCCCCGAGACCCTCCCGAAATTGGGGAGGGGGCGCAAAAAGAGGGGGAAAAGGGGGGTGAGACCCCTCCCCAAATTCCCCCCCGAAGCCCCCAGACCCAAATAACCCCAAACCCCCCCCCGAAATCCTCCTAAAAAAACCCCAAAAACCCCAAATTTCCCCCTCAAAACCTCCCCCGAAGCCCCCAGACCCAATTCGAGCCCCCCCCGAAGCCCCCAGACCCAATTCCTCACCCTCCAGCCCGGCCGCCGCCATGAACATCTTGTAGGTGGTGTGGAGGAGCTGCCGCCCCTTGAGCCGGTCTGGGGAGGGGGCGGGGGGCTCAGAGACCCCTCCCCAAATTCCCCGAGACCCCTCCCCAAATTCCCCGAGACCCCTCCCCAAAAAACCCGGAGTTTTCGGACCTAAAAAGCCCCAAAAAAGCCCCAAAAAAACCGAATTTTGGGAGCTGTGACCCAGCTCCAAATTCCCCGAGACCCCCGAGACCCCTCCCCAAATTATTCGAGACCCCCGAGACCCCTCCCCAAAAAAACGCGGAGTTTTCAGACCCAAAAAGCCCCAAAAAAGCCCCAAAAAAGCCCCAAAAAAGCCCAAAGAAAGCCAAAAAAAGGCCAAGAAAAGGCCCCAAAAAAGCCCAAAAATCCCGAATTTTGGGAGCTGCGACCCCTCCCCAAATTCCCCGAGCCCCCTCCCCAAATTCCGCGGGCGCTCACAGCCGCAGTAGCAGGAGAGGAGGAAGATGAGGGTGAAGATGAGGAGGAAGGTGATGTCGGTCTCCAGGATTCCTGCAGGGGGAGGGGGGGAAATTGGGTCTGGGGGCTTCGGGAAATGACCCCGAGACCCCTCCCCAAAATGGGGAGAATCCAAGGAAGCGGCAAAAAAAAAAATCCGGGTTTTTTAACCCAAAGAAACCCCCAAAACCCCCCAAAATTCCCTCAAATAAACCCCAAAAAATCCAAA